GGGGGGGGGGGGGGGAGGAAGGGAGGGAGGGAGGCGGAGGAACAAAACCGCACAGACTGGGAGGGCAGAGAGATGCACACATCAAAATGAGGCTGTTTGACACACGGACTGTTCTGGTCATCACAGCGTTTGAGCAGAAGCCTTATGCACAGTGTGTGAGTAGAAATCTTACACACAACTTGAAACACACAGATCGCTTTGGTCCGTTCTTGCAGTGAAAATCACGGCATGTGAGGAGAGAGAAACGTTATGCACAGTTCAAAAACATCACACAGACACATCCAATGCTGCGGCCAAGCAGACTGAAAATTGTCTATACAGTGTATACACCACTGTAGCCAAGCGGACTGAAAACTCTATGCAACATTATTTGTATCAGCATGCCGCTGGAAAAAGAAGCCATCCAGGATGACATCTGCAAAGTGACGATTTGATTGACACCGCATCGAAATTGGCCATTTCTGCTTCTCCCCCTCCTCCTCCTGGTCCTCCTCTTCCTCCTCTTCCTCCTCTCCTCTCCTCCATCTGCTTGGTTTTGTATCCTCCCTTCTGGTCGCATTCTCTTCTCTCCTGTTGTGGCCATGATTCACGTCGTCTTTCCTCCTTCTCCTCCCTCCTCCTACCTAGCATGATGACGTGGCAGTGAGCAGGAATGCTTTTCACTGCCACGTCAGCAAATGGCCAGAGAAAGAAGCCACCCAAGATAACCTCTAAGCCTCCTCCTGGTCCTGCTGCTCCTCTCCTCTCCTCCATCTGCTTGGTTTTGTATCCTCCCTTCTGGTCGCATTCTCTTCTCTCCTGTTGTGGCCATGATTCACGTCGTCTTTCCTCCTTCTCCTCCCTCCTCCTACCTAGCATGATGACGTGGCAGTGAGCAGGAATGCTTTTCACTGCCACGTCAGCAAATGGCCAGAGAAAGAAGCCACCCAAGATAACCTCTAAGCCTCCTCCTGGTCCTGCTGCTCCTCTCCTCTCCTCCATCTGCTTCGTCTCGTCTCCCCCCTTGTCGTCACATTTTCTTCTCTCCTGTTGTGGCTGTGATCCACGTCCGACTCGTCATTGCCCTCCCCGCACCTCGACGTACCACCTCGTGATCTGCTTCCTCTCGTCTCCCCCCTTCTCGTCGTGCTCTCTTCTGACGTACCACCTCGTGATCCACCTCCTCTTTGCCCTCCCTGTACCTCCACGTGCCACCACCCCCTCCTCCTCCCTCTTCCCACCTAGCATGCTGACGTGGCAGTGAGCAGGAATGGTGCTCACTGGCACGTCTGCATGCGGCCAGAAAAAAAAAGCCACCCCGGATAACGTCTGCGCAGTGATGATTCAAATCACCGTGTGCAAATTTACCTTTTCCGCACAGAATTTCCCATTTTTGCCAATTAAAAAAAAAAAAAAAAAAAACCAACAACAACAAAAGCAAGTTTGTTGACAGATTGCAGAATCTTCCATTTCTGCGGGGTCTATAATGCAAGAACCACCCTGAGCTGGAATCCACTTGCACTTACCAAAGAGAACAAAATCCTGACCATGCTCCAGCACAGGGACCATGTGAAATGGCTGCAAGAAGAACAAACAAACAAACCAAGAAAAAACATATAAGCCCCACGAGAATGCAGAGGACAGATCTGAGAGCAAAAGCATGAACAAGGCCTCCACACCAGAAGGGGGAGGAGCGCGAGTGTGTACTCAATGTACTCTCTATTGACTTGCCGGTGGAATGGGAACCGAACTGATGCTCCCCAGAATGGACAAGGAGCCAGAAGGCCCAGAACCATACGGTTCTTTTTTTTTTTTTTTTTTTTTTTTTAAGTGAAGGAGAACAAGATTAACAGAGGTGAAAAGGAGGTTACCGGGTAAGGGAGCGAGGGTGTACCGGAGGCAAAATTGTAATCATCAGTGATCTCAACAACAACGATGATCAAGATTAGATCACATTGATGCTTATACCAACACCACCACCAACACCACCAACAACAACAACAACGACGACGACGACGACGACGATGACGACGACGATGATGACGATGACGACGACGACGACCACAACAACGACGACGACAACGACGACCACAACAACAACAAGAACAACGACGACGCCAATAACACTGATGATTCTAAACCTTAAAAACATTGTTCATTGCTGGCGTGGAACATCTGATGCGTTCTTTGATGCCATTCTGCTGCAGAAGCCCAACGCTTACCCTACTATCCATATATGACAATCTGCCACCTTTTTAATGAAATAATAAAAAATAAATAACATCATTGTGATATCAGTGCCACCATATGAGATCCATGTCACAAGCACACATCAGGCCACAACCTTGCAGTCATGCTTGACTCTCAAGACTGGCATTGGATACCCCACCGTCTTCTCCCGGCTAGAACACGGGGTAATTACGGCCGTATCTGGACTGAAAGTTGCACCAAATACAGCTGGAATCACCGGGCGTTCGATTCAGGTGAAGATAGTAGGCCTAACACTCTGTACGGAACGCTGTAAAACCAAAGGTACGCAAGGGAAGAGAACATTCACTGCCGCTGCTTCTGTCTTCAGGCATTCTCATAAGATCTGTATCAGACCCGAAAAGCTCCCTGAATACGCATGAAATTGTTGTTGATTTCGTGTGCCCGAAGATCTTTGTACAGCAAACGACGACCTTCTGGAAACACATCCACCCCATGATACCCCAACTCAGAGAAGTGCGCAATGTGGAGGAACTCAGAGAAGTGCGCAATGTGGAGTCACGACCTGCAGACAGCTGTTGTTACCTCTCACCCACCCAATTTCTTGTACCAGGGAACAAGGTACCAGGGCACAGGGTACCAGGGCACAAGGTACCAGGGCACAAGGTACCAGGGCATAAGGCAGCAGGGCCTAAGGTACCAAGGCAGTTGGCAGGGGATAAGGTACCAGGGTATGCAGTCTCCAGGTTGAAGGTGTGGATGCTGAAGGCATCCATGCATGTTGAACGTATGCCGGTTAACGGTACCTGGTTGGCTGGTATAGGGGTTGGCAGCATCATGGGCTGATGGCACCGGGGCTGACAGTACCGGGGCCCATGGATAATCATGGGTCACAAGGACATTAGGTTCCTAGGGTGTCAAGCTTGCAATGTAACATGTAGCCACATCCGTTAAAATTGGAACGATACAGAGAAGATTAGCATGGCCCCTGCGCAAGAAAAAGAAAAAACAAATAAAAAAAATTATGTGTTACCAGGGTTCAAGGTATGCGGGTGTTGCATACTGTAAAGGTGCAGACCAGAACAAGAACCGACCTCTCTCACAAAGTACAAGATAACGCAGCGGAAAACTTAGATACCAATGATCCGAACAATCAATATTGCAATGCAGCCCCGAACATACATCATCATCATCATTCCATGGTGTGAAGCGGTCTGGCGCTCACACGGGAAGAATGCACCAGCCCCAAACATACACAGACGAAGAAGAGGGGGGGTTAGACGAAGAAGAGGGGAAGATGGGAATGTCGTCAACACCAAGTCTTCGGCACAGGCCCAAATAGTCCCTCGTCAAAATGTCTGAATCCCAATGTCGAGTCTGGATCCAATGTCGTCAAGTCTCAAGTCACAACTCTCTCTCTCTCTCTCTGCCGTAGTCTGCTGATACTGAGAAGTCAGGTGGTGAGAGGGTGAAGAAGAGATGGTGGACTTAGAAGAGGAAGAAGAAGAACCCTCTCTCTCTCTGTCCGGTACTAACCTGTGAAGTTGGCGCCTTGATGCAGGTACCTCGAAGATGGAGCTGGAGCTATGGTGCCACAGGTAAGTCTCGCTGGCCTCCGCCAGCCATCTCTCTCCAAGACCACTACCACTACCGCTACTTAGCGCCCTGCGCTGAAGACCACTCCTGCAGCTACTAGCGCCCAGCTCTGAAGACTACTGCTAGCGGTAAACTACTCCTGCAGCACTCCTCCAGAGTGCTGCGGCCAAATCCTGAAGACTGCCTCCTGCCTTCTGTCCAACTACCTGCCCGTGAAGTGCATGGGAACTCCCTATGTACTACTCGGCCTGCCTCCTGACTGCCTGCAACTGCAGGGCAAGGCAGTCCAGGAGGCTGCTCTTGCCAATGCCAGGGCGAACCAGGGGCTGCCGCTGCAGCTCCTGCTGAGGCTGTCGTGGGGAACAGGCCAGAAATAGCCTGCTCCCAAAACCCTGGTTTTGTGCCTGAGTGTTAGGGCAGGTCGATCTTACGAGGGCCCAAAAGTGGCCCTCCGTTTCAGGCTGAAAAGCCCTGTTTTAGGCTGAAAACGAAATGGGGCCTGCAGGCCCTCGTTTTCAGTTTTCAGGCTGAAACGACATGGGGCCTGTAAGCCCTTATTTCTAGGCTTTTAGGCTGAGAATGCGGAACGGGCCCTGCAGGCCCGTGTGGCTACACAGTATGCCGCAGCGGGTCTCTAGGTATCAGAGGGTTTTAGGTATCAAGGTTTAAGGTACCAGGGTATAAGGTACCAGCGAGGTGCCCCAGGGTTTGAGGTGCCAGGGTTTAACGTGGCAATTTCTAAACCACTAGTACCTCCAAGGCTTTTCGTCCGCAAAACTTTCCGCTCGGTAGTCGTGCCCACCCTGACCGGTCGGGCCTATCCGGTCAGACGCACTCTGCTCGTCATATGCATTGACGGTGTGCAACGTTCTTTCCCGTGCGCAATTTTTCTCTCCTGATACTCATCCCTCATTCTTGTGCACCCTCCCCTGGTGACACCCTTGGGGGCCCGCGCTGGTGTATGGGACCCCCTCCCCCTTGTGCGTGCTTCACTGCTGTGCCAAACCTGTCCGCACTGGTTCAGGACACTGGTTCAAACCCCTGTGGAAAACACTGGAATTCCACATGAGCAGCTGCTGCAGAATTCACTGGAGGGGGTCACACACTGGATTAAGGTGTCAGGATATTGTTAGAACTCAAGGCATAAAGATTTAGGGTATCATCAGGGTTTACGACATCCTTTTATTGAAGCATCAGCACTTAAACCACCAATACACCCAGGTGCGGAGGCGCTCCACCACACGCCAAGCTTTGCCGAACTGCCAGCGGTGCACGTTTTTCCCCTTTTGGCTGGCGCCACCAGCCATTTTCGTCTGGTAGGCCCAAGTCGCAAAATTTTCGGAGAAGGCGATGAAACATTTTCTGCAACGTTGGAGCCATCTAGTGGCAGCGTCAATACCTCCAAGCCTGCTTTTCCTGACGCATCCCCCCCCCCCTGTGTGCCAAAGGAAAAGAAACCAGCACAGGCACATTCTCATTGCGTTTTGGCTGGCACCATTAGCAAATCCAATCCTGTGGCACTATTCATCAGCAGACCGCCGTTGCTATACCAACGCAATTATGGAAACCTTTGGCTGTCCTGTAAAGGTGCAGGTAAGGTAAGGCGACTCAGGGTTTCACGTCTCAGAGATATGAGAGGGTACAGGATTTGGGGCTTAGGTTTTTACAGTCTGTGGTCCGAAGTGTTAAAGCTTACAGTGTTCAGCTTCAGGAGGGGGTTAAGGTTCAAGGTATTCGGAATATAACTTTTTCGGGTCACCAGTTTAGGACTTAGGTTTAGGGGTTAGGGTTTAGGGGTTAGGGTTTAGGGGTTTAGGGGTTCAGGGGTTCAGGGAAAGGGCATCATAACTTGAGGTTTCAGGATCAACATGGGAGGCTACCATTGGAGGATTCAGGGTGTAGGATTTACTATGGCATTCAGGTTCGGGGTTGGAGGTTATAGGGTTTAAGATTCAGCGTGATTGAAGAATTCAGGGTCTAGGACTTATGGCGTGGAGGTTCGGGTTTGGGGGTTAAGAGGGTTTAAGATTCAACGTTCATTTGCATATGATTTTGACATTCTTGGTTTAGAATTTGGGGTACAGAGACTTGCAGGTCATTGGTGTAACAATCACGGTTTTGGGGTTCAGGGTTCCTGGGGCTAGTAGGGTGTTGGGGTCAGGGTTTTCAGGTTCAGGGTTCTGAGGATCAACATTTTGGGGTTCAAGGACATGGGGTCTACGAGTTTGTGGGCTCAAGGTTTTGGGGCTCACAATTTCTCGGCTCAGGGAGGGTTTAGGGGCTCGGGGTTTCGAAGTTCAGGGTTTTGGTTCACAGTTTGTAGTCCATGGTCTTGGAGGGCTCGTGATTCAGGGTTCTCAAGGTCTTGGAGTCCGGGTTTGGGGGTCAGGGTTTGCTGCCTCAGGGTCAGCGGCTCAGGGTTTGGGGGCTCAGGGGTATAGGGGCTCAAGGGTTTGTGGTCTCAGGGTCTGCACCTCAGGGTTTGGGGGCTCAGGGTTTTGGTTCACAGTTTGTGGTTCGGGTAATCGTTTTGGAGGGCTCACGGTTCAGGGTTTTGGGGTTCAAGGTCTTGGACTCGTTCAGGGCGTCTCAGGGTTCGGGAGCTCAGGGTTTGGGGGCTCGAGCGCTTTCCGGCTCAAGCCTTTGGGGGCTCAAGGGTTTGTGTGGGTTAAATTTTCCATCTCAGGGTAAACTTTGGGGATTGTGCGAGTCCAGGGTTCAAGTTTTCCCGGTTTGGGGGTTCCGGGTTCAAAGTTTCGGGTTTAGGGATTCAG